TCTCCCATCGTCGATAAGGCGATACACGGATTGCTTCTTACTGCTCCACGAAATAGCACCATCGCTAAGCATGAAAGCATATCCTGAAGTAGACTTACTCTCATCTAGGTCTCCTCCCCAGTCAGCATCACAATAGCCAACTAGATATAGATCTGAACTCTGTAGCAAAGTGTGTAATCTGCAGTCCCTCTAAGATATCGTAATATCCTCTTAACTGCTTTTCAATGAGCTGGTCCTGGGTTGGATTGCTAACGACTTACCAATCCGACTGCATAACAAATGTCAGGAGCGTACACTCATAGCATACATCAAGCTTCCAACAGCATTTGCATAGGGAACACGAGCCATCTTTTCATTTTCTTCTTGAGTCTTAGGACCCACATCAAGACTTAGGCTCTCGCCTTTGCGAACAGGAGTGTCAATGCGTTTGCAGCTCTGCATCTGGAATCGCTCTAGAATAGTCTTAATGTAAGTCTCTTGAGACAAACCAAGAAGTCTCCTAGAGCGATCCCTAAGGATCTTAACACCGAGCACATAGTTCGCCTCACCCATGTCCTTCATTTCAAATGTAGAGAACAACCACATTTTAGTGGCGACAATCATCTCCTTGTCATTTCCAGCCAATAATATGTCATCTACATATAATGACAATATCAGAAAAAAATATCCTTGGACTGCTTAACGCACACACAGTGATCTTCATCAATCATCGTAAACCCATTAGAAACAATGACTCGATGAAATCTCAGATTCCACTGTCTGGATGATTGCTTTAAGCCATAAATAGATCGTTGAAGCTTGCAAACTTTGCGCTCCTGACCTACTGCCACAAAGCTTTCTAGTTGATCCATATAGATCTCTTATCCAATTCTCCATTAAGAAATGCAGTCTTAACATCCATTTGATATAGCTCTAAGTCCAACTGAGCTACTATGGCCAGGATTAGGCGAATAGAGGCAAACCTTACAACTGGTGAAAAAGTTCCTCATAGTCCACACCCTCTCGTTGGGTGTAACCTTTCGCCACTAGGCGAGCCTTATACCTTTCTATGGAACCATCCGCCTTGCGCTTGATTTTGAGAAACCATTTGTTCCCAATAGTCTTGCGCCCTGGCGGCAAATAACCAAGTCCCAGACATGATTTTTCTTCATAGACTCTATTTCTTCATCCATTGGAGTACTCCATTCTTTACTAGCAGGGGATGAGAGAGTCTCTTTGAGATTCTTAGGCTCCATCTCATCACTTGGAGCAATCATGAATGTTTCCCCTTCAATCTCAAAATGACGATGGGGTATAGCTCCACATTTGCTTCTATGTAGTTGGGAATCCTGAGAATCCTCATCCATTGGATCTAATCCATGGGCAGGTAGATCGCTCCCATTGTCCCTACGAGCTTGAGGAATTATCTCCTCATTCTCTACTAGGCTACTAGGTGCGCCCTCAAGTAGATCCTCCATCTCATAGAGTTCTATTTCTCTAGTTACCTCACCTCTGCTAGGGAAATCCTCCTCTAGGAAATCCACATCTCGTGACTCAATTTCAGTCACACTTCCATCAGGATGCTCCCAACAAACACATAGCCCTTAGAATGCTCACTATAACGAATGAAGATACACTTCTTTCCTCTAGGGCCCAACTTCCCAAACTTATGAGAAGCGTTTGTGTATGTAAGCTGCCGAACCCCAAGGCCGCAAATTGCCAAATCAGGCTTTTTGCCAGTCCACATCTCATATGGGGTGGAAGGAACTGATTTGGAGGGCACACGATTAAGGACGTAGGCAGCAGTCAACAAAGCATCTCCCCAATAAGAAATGGGAAGATTAGCTTGTCCATCATTGATCTAACCATGTCAAGCAATGTGCGCATTCCTTCTCTCGCTACACCATTTTGCTGCGGAGTCCTAGGAATTGTCAATTGCCTGATGACTCCTTTTTCCTCACAGAGCACTTTAAATTGCTCAGATAGATACTCTCACCTCGTCAGTTCTTAGAGCCTTAATGCTCTTGTCTAATTGATTCTCAACCTCATTAACATACCGTCTAAAGCAATCCAATGCTTCTGACTTGTGAGAAATCAAATAGACATGACCAAAACACGTGCAATCATCTATAAATGTGATGAAATAAGGGGCTCCATGCCTTGCCCTCACATTCATTGATCCACATTATCAGAATGAATAAGTTGCAATGGGATAGATGCCCTTATGGCTTTCCCAAATGATTTCCTTGTTGCCTTTCCAGCAAGACAGTGCTCACAAGTAGGCAAAGTGACTCTAGTGAGTGGGCCTAAAAGACCTTCTCTAGCCAATCTAGTCATCCTGTCTTGCCCTATGTGGCCTAATCTAGCATGCCATCTCATAGAATCATTATCACAGAAAGATGCAATATCAGAAACAGAGCCATTGGCATTTTTATTAAGACTAGAATCATCCACATCCAAACTAAAAAACCATCTGAAAGGTAACCAAAACCATAAAAAATTGTTCCCAAATAAATGCTAACACCATTATTCTCAAAACAAAAGCTAAAACCAAGGCTCATCATGCTAATAACTGAAACTAAGTTTCGCCGAATATCCGGAGCATAAAAAACATCATGAAGATACAAGGTGCGCCCTCGTCGCATTTCCAGCTTGAATGTGCCAATACCAAGCACCTCCACACTGGACTCGTTCCCCATGTAAACTTTTCTGCTCACAGCAGGTACTCGGCGATACTCAACGAACCTTACTCTGTCCCTCGCGATGTGGTCTGTTGCACGGAGTCTACAACCCAAAAATGAGGAGAATGAGCAATTAATGCTTGACTAGACACAAAGCATTGAATGCGAGAAATTAAGTAAGGGAGTACCTTCTTCTGCTCAGGGCAATCCCGAGCGAAGTGTCCTTCTTTGTTACAGTTAAAGCATGTCAATTTAGCCTTTGCCTTCTTATCACCTCTCTTGCCCCTACGCTTGAAATTTCTAGCGCCATTGGGCTTACGCGCAGCTGCTGCTTGCTTCTTAGGGGCACCTTTTGCTTTTCCACGTTTGAACTGAGAAGTCCTACGTGAGCTTGACTCAACCACCATAGTAGAACCATCAGATTTAGCCGCCTCAAGGCGCTCAGCCTCTAGTTCCAAATGACGTGATATGTCTTCGAATGTTTTCACACTCTCATTATGCATCATGTTCTGCTTCATCTGCCCCCAAGAATTTGGCAGAGAGCGAATCACAGCTTGTACTTGCTGCTCTTGAGTCAAATTGTGCGCAGCAGCCGCAAGCTCACGTATCATGGCTGATATGACCCTCAAATGCTGCTTCATCGAGTGATGCGCCCTTTTCTGATATGAGTCAAACTTCATAGTCAGCCCACGTAGCTTTGCCAAAGAGGTAATACCAAACTTTTGCTTGAGAGCTTCCCACATCTCAAATGCAGTCGGGCAATGCTTAAACTCACTAATCAAGTCGTTGTGCATGCTGCCCAACATAGTAAAGCGCGCACACCGATCTTTGTTACGCCAAGTCTGAAAGGCTTCAAGATCACGACGATGTTGAGCTGTATTGCCCTGCTCTGGCTCAACCATCACTTGTTCAAGTGTGGTCAACACTTCTTACTCATTGAGGAGGTATTGGATCTTACGGCACCATATATCATAATTGTCGCCATCCAATTTCTCTCTCTTAGTTAAGTCTGCCACCACTGTCTTAGCAGTCATTTCTTCATACAGAGTAAACAAAATGCGCAGGGGATATTAATGATAGCAACACAAAAAATTATTTTGCATCAAAAGAATCTAAATTAAATAATGATAATTTTACACATGTCTCAAGATCGAAAATTTACTATGCTCGTAATCATCTCTTGCGCCTCTAGTGATAATTATCAAAAAATTAATTTAATTCCATGCGCAAAAAAAAAAAAACAGTCTCCCAGGCATATACAAAGTATGATAAATTCCATACAGTAGCATCTTAATGTAAATTTACAAATAACTCATGCTATATTCATTTAATAATGGAATTCAAATAAATAAATACTAAGCATGCTCTCAAATCACAACATATTACAAACCCAAAAAAATAATATGCTGTATTTAATATTCAAATTATGCCATAACAGAATGTACATCATTATAAAATTTTCTGGTATTTTCTGGAATTTTAAAGAACTAATAAACACACATAAAATTAGAAATAAATATTCCAGAATCTGGTAAAATGCTATAACTATACCAGTAAATAGTAAACTACAACAGTAGTCTACAATAAAAAATTCAACCCCAGGAACTTAATCAAGCAACACCAGATGCATTTTAAATCAGAAATAATGAATTATTATTTCAGGAAAAATATTTTTTATTTTTATAAAATTTTCAAAATTTTACAGAAGATAAAAAATTTAATTCTAAGTCTAACGATACCAACCACGCTTAAAACAAAGCTATAACGAATTAATTATGACCATTTAACGCGATTCAAAATTTAAAACAGAACAAACAGAGCCTTATGCATCAGCAGCCAAGCCAGCCAAGCCGGCAGAGGAAAACGGCGTGGCTCAGTGCGCGGCTCAACGCGTGGCTCAACACGAGGCTCAGCGCACGGCACGCATGCGTGGCGAGAACAGCGCGCGCATGGACAACGCCGCTGATGTGCGCGTGATGGCGCATGGTAGCGCATGGAAGCGCATGGAAGCGGCTCACGGCGTCAGGTGGCGTGTGAGGACCACGCGCCGCCTCCCTAGGTGTTTTCTGGTCCAATTTCGGTACTGCCAGACTCCATTTTCCAAAATAAAATCATTTATGGTATTAAAAATAACATTAATGAACATAAAAATAGGATTTTTTATGCTCTTAATCTAATGAGAGTTGACATTTTCCTCCTTTATAAACATTCATGTATATAATGTGTACATATATATATAACAAATATACACATGATTAGAGAAAACACGAAAATACCCATTCATGCTCAGATACCAATGTAAAACAAAGTAGAACGCAGCGGAATAAAAATTATGGTCATACCTTTAGAACAGAGTCTGAATTGAAGGATCTCGTGGGTAAATCACGTGCTTCCTGAATCTGATCAGTCAACCCAGCAATGGAGTGATATTACAATAGTAAATATCACCCACACAAATCACAGTGCAAATGGCTTTGATCGTTGGTTTTTTGGGAGAGAGTCAGTATATGGGAAAAAATTCAAACATACGTTATTTTTCTCTTAATCACCGATATCCCATATTATCAGATATATAATATGTTTATCTCATTTATCCATATCAGTTATATGAGATAATATAAGATGTATCATCTATCCATATCAATTATATGATAGATATATATATATCCTGAGTGGTTATCCAAATAGGTTTGAATTCGAATTCAAAACCCATTTGGATAAGGTTCAATAGATTCAAATGGTCATGTCATTAAAATCCATTTGGATAAGGTTCAAAAGATTCAAAGGGTCATGCCACATGGGCGCCCATTTCTAACACATTAACACTTGTAATTGACACTAGTTATGAGAAATTAGATGGGCAACAACAACAAAAAATTTAAAAAAACGAACATACAAGGACGGCCACTTGAAATTTAAAAACAAAAATCTAGAAGGGCGAAACCTGTATAATTTAGAGATTGTTAGTAGTTAATACTATGGAATCATCAGTGTGGATTGGGAGTAAGGGATGTAGAAATCTTACGTCCAGTCTAATGCGTGGCATGTGCGAAGAAAGCAGAAATTTCGCACTTAGAATCATCAATAGTTCCAGTAGTGCCGAATGAAGGGTAGGAACCGATGGCGTTAAGAAATGCAGACCTGGTGAAGAAGCTTTTCCCTGCACATCCAGCAGAAGCTTGATTGATTATCCCATTGAAAAAGGACTGTGTCACAATATTAGAGACCGAAGCACCGTTGGAACCGGTACAAGGCCCTGATTGGCAGCCTGCACCACAGTAGGCATTGCCAGTGCCACAATACCCATAATGGCTGCAACGAAGGCCTGCTGCACAACCACAATTCTGACCCACTGCGATTTCCGGTAGGATGGCACCGGCGAGTATTCCGGCCAGAATGATTGTCTGTAAGCTGTTTTTGATATTGAGGGTTACCATTTTGGAAGAGAAATGTGTGGATGGAAGAGTATGTGTGCTGTGGGATGAAATTAAGGTGAGAGAGACATGTATTTATAATTATACAATGGAAAATGTGTGGAAAAATCAACATTCCTACTATACGATAAATGTTTCAAATTAAAATTTGAAAAAGTCAAAAAATAAATAAATCAATAACAAAATCAAACACAATCATCTTATGTAAGGTGGGTCTTATATTTTTATGAATCCTTTTTCTTTTTCTTTTTTTTGTGAGTCCCACATTTATATGTAAAAGTTGTGCCAATACTCTATAATATTAAAGTATAGCTTATTATTATTAAAAATTATGTAATTAATTATGTGTAAGAAGAACAATGGTTGAAGCTTAGCATGCAATTTTCTAACCAGTAATGCTAGGCTTCAAGAAAGGGCTTCAGGAAAACCTTCAGGAAAACCTTCAGGAAAAGGTGGGTCCCACCTGGTAAGGAAATAAGTAATGCTAGTCTTCAGGAAAAGGCTTCAGGAAAACCTTCAGGAAAAGGTGGGTCCCACCTGGCAAGGAAAAAAAAAAGGAAAAAAAATGAAACGTGATGGAAGAAGTCGTTGGCTGAACCTTCCTATTATATCAACAACAAATAGGGTGGGTCCCACCCAGGAAAATAAAAAAAAATAAAAAAATAAAAAAATAATAAATAATAAAATAATAAAATAATAAAAAATAAAAAGAAAAGGAAAAAAGAAAAGAAAAGTAAAGGAAAGGAAGAAAATGTTGGCTGGAACCTCCATGTTATATCAACAACAAATATTGTAGGGTAGCAATTCAAGTGAATTCCTTTTAGTGAAAACTCACAAAGAATATAATCCAAGGAATAACAAAAAGAATTTATATATTGCCAATATATAATAGTTCAATAACATAAACCTACATCAAAATGACAATACTTCAACATAAGCTTATTCCAAAATGACAATGCTTCAACAACTCAACAACATAAGCCTACACAAAATGACAATGCTTCAACATCGGCTTGCCTAGAAGTCATACAAATATTGTCAATGGTAAATTAAAAATAAATTAATATAGGTCCAAGAAACATTGTCACTGTTGACATCTTCAACTTCTTTCATCTTTGTCTCGTTCGGGATTTTCAAATTGTGACTGCGCCATATCATTCAACATTTTCGTGAAACTTGAATTGCCCAACATCCAAGATTGAGATGGATGATGATGTCCCTACCAAAAAAATAAAATAAAATAAATGACATAAATATTAAATTTTTGTTTAAGCCACGTTAATAAAATACAAAATGGAATATTATGTACTTGGGATGACAAGTGTCCTTGGAGCATGTTTTGTTGCCCGAAACTTGGAGCCAACATTTCAGATTCCTGCAATATAACAAGCACCCATAGAATTATAAATCCAACAATAAACTAACAAAATCTAGCTATAAAATAAATCAATAAATCCAACAAGTTTCTTACATTGATTTTAATACTCTCTTGTGTACCAAGATCAACAAATCCCATATGTGAAGGCACACTAAATTCAGATTGCTACAAAATATAAAACTTGAAAGTTAACAAAATAATAGCTTATCAGTTAATGGTAAATTCATGCATGAGATATTTTTCACACCTCTATATTTCCTTGGCTGCTGGTGCTAGTGGTCTTTGTCTTTGTCTTGGTCTTCACTCTTTGCTTCTTTTTAATAGTTTTTTTCAAGCATAGACTGTTTCCTTTTACATGGTGGCCTCCCTTTTTGACGGACAACGATTGGATCAAGTATGGTTGTGCTCTCCTTTGAATTTAAGACACCATCCCCATATGAGCTTGAAGCATTCTGTGTACTCATAGAACCAAACTTGTTACTTCCACTAACAACATCAACTTCTTCTTTCAACTCCCCTTTTAGTTCACGTAACTGTTCAACCACCTTATCACACTTATTGTCACAACTAGTTGCCAAATCAGCCACCTCATTAAAGACATTGAACATTTTATCATAGCGACGTGCTTCAGGCTTAATAGAAGAGTCGTCATAACTGATATGCACTTTAGTGTGACATCTTTTCACATTTTTGTTCCATCTTCTTAAAATATACTTGTCTGGCATTTGATGAATCCTTTTTTTTCATGAGCACTGCAATTTGATGCCTACACACTATTCCCCTAAACTCAAACAACCGACAACTACAATTTGTTTCAGAGCTGTCCTCTTTCAAATATACTGTGAAAGTTGTAAGTCTAAGGCTTTCTCCAAAGGGAACATCTTCACTTACTTCATACACAGAAAAATTAAGATCTTCTTAACACAGAGACAAATTGCAATAAATCTTTCCTACAACCTCCTGTTGGAACTCTTTGAATTTTGCAATTGTGTAAGCATTTTGAAATTGCTTTTCAAATGGATATTGAGTTATGCATGGGATGTATGCATTGAGAGAATTGAATTCTTCACCATTTTCATTTTCAACCTTCTTTGCCATAGCATTTTCATATTGCTCCACAAATTGTTTCAAAGTGGTTTTCGAGTTAATGTACCCATCAAAGAATGCGTGTATGCTTTCACTACGCTGTGTGGTTGACATTCCTGCCCAAAAAATGTCTTTGACAAACGCAGGTACCCCTCGATGTCTTTCCTCATACAACCTAAGTAACCAATCATTGCTATGAAGTTGATACTCCTCAATGAACTTACCCCAATTTTCTTCAAATTCTTCTGTAGTTAATGAATCATAAACTGCATTCTGAATACCAAATTTTATTGCTTCATATTCCTTGTATCCTCTCAATTTTTCAGGCAATTTTTTCATAATATGCCACAAACACCATCGGTGACGCGCATTAGGGAAAACAATCCCTGTGGCTTTTTTCATGGCTTTGTCTTGATCTGTAATAATAGCATTGGGAGGGCATCCAGACATGCATGCAAGCCAAGACTGAAATAGCCATGTAAATGTCTCTGTGTCTTCATGTGAAATGAGTCCACAACCCAACAATGTCGACTGTCCATGATGGTTCACACCAACAAATGGGGCAAATGGCATATCATATTTATTTACCAAGTATGTTGTGTCAAATGTGACCACATCCCCAAACTCTTTAAATGCTGCTCTACTCCTCGCATCGGCCCAAAATACATTTTGTAATCGACCATTTCCATCCAAATCCATGACATAAAAAAAGTCTGAATTATCACCTTGCATTTTCACAAAATAATTATACATTGCAGTGGCATCGCCTTCCTCAAGTCGTAAACAATGAACTTTGTCTATATGATTCCTATAATCTTTCTCTAAATATGACAACTTCTCACGCCCTCCAGCTTCCAACACAAGTGAAGTGAAATTTTTGTTCATCCTAATCCCCGCTCTATCATTTAATTCAAGTCTCCTCTTCACATGCGGCTCAAGTATCCTATTTTGCTTGAAAAAACGAGATTTGGTTGGACTCATTTTATGGTTATGCTCAAGTACTAAGGATCGCAATAGCCACATTCCATCGGGTTGTAGAATTGCATTAATGCAAGCTTTGCATCCCGTTCTTGTTTGTGGCCGTAATTTAACTGGATTGCTTGTTTTGATTATTGTCTTCCCAGCACGAGTACAAGCAAGAGTTATATATTTTTTCTCCCCATCGCCTCCCTTTTTACAATTTTTCTTAGACACCGCAAAACCATTTTTCTTCCCATATGTTGCATAATATTCATAAATTTCATCACTTGACTTAGACATCATTCCCACCTTAGGATCCTCAGTTTCAACTTCTACATTTTCAGTTTCGACTTCTACATTTTCTGTTTCCTCCATTTCATTCTCAATATTAATTTCATTAATGCCCCCACTTGAAGAACCACTTCATATTTCTTCATCCATATCTCTACAATATATATATATATATAACAAATTAAAAAGTTCTTCAACAAAAATAAATAAAAAGGCAATAAATAAACAGGAATTAATTTAGTTCTTAAACAAAAATAAATAAACAACCAATAACTAAACTGAGACTATTTAAAAATAATAATTTGTGCCTTGAAATATATACATTGGTGGCATAAGGCATCAAAAATTTTCAAAATTGAACAAAAACCCCCAAAATTTAACCTATGCAATTTCTAGGCTTTCATACATGAAACAAAGTAAATCCACAAAATCTCATTGAAAGATTCAAATTTAGAGATAACAGAAATTAAAATGAAAATTGAGTTTTATAACCTATGCAATCCACAACATCTCTTTCATTGAAAGATTCAGAGACAACAAAAATTTTCAAAAGCCCCAAAATTCAAAATTCTAGGGTTTGAAAAAAATAATCCCAAAATCGCACAAAGAAGGTAGGATACAAAATCAAGCTTGGTAAAACAACTACAAACACTCAGATTTTGGTTGCAAATCTTACCTTCGGTGTTCTTGCAAGAATGGTGGGATTAGAGACTGAAATCGCAGCAAAAATCTGAGAGTGACGGAGAAATCAAATGGAAATCTCAGCAGTTACGGAGACGCCGGCGGCAGTGACCGGCGGCAACAAGCTTGCGGGTGAGAGCTGAGCGAGAGAGTGGTGAGAGAGTTGAAACGTGAAAGAGTTGAAACATGAGACTCAGAACTTTTTATATTTATTTCTTAAACTAACAATTTCCTTGCCAGGTGGGACCTACCTTTTTCCTGAAGCCTTTTCCTGAAGACTAGCATTACTGTTTTCTAACAAGCGTGTAGACTTTGGTGTTTGTCTTGGCCTTGACTAATATTAAAGTCTAGCTTGCAATTATTAAAAATTATGTAATTAATTATGTGTAAGTAGAACAATGGTTGAAGCTTAGCGTGCAATTTTCAAACAAGCGTGTAGAGTTTGGTCTCTGTCTTGACCTTGACTTGTGAGTCAATGAAGTGTGCTGATGATTTCTCACCATATGATCTTGTCTTTTTTGTGGGGGAGAAATTACAAATTAGTGGGATAGTTAAAAAAATAATTGTAATAGATGAAATTTTTTTTGGTACAACTCTGACATATAAA